TCTTCTTCTTCTTCTTCTTCTTCTTCTTCTTCTTCTTCTTCTTCTTCTTCTTCTTCTTCTTCTTCTTCTTCTTCTTCTTCTTCTTCTTCTTCTTCTTCTTCTTCTTCTTCTTCTTCTTCTTCTTCTTCTTCTTCTTCTTCTTCTTCTTCTTCTTCTTCTTCTTCTTCTTCTTCTTCTTCTTCTTCTTCCCCTCCTCCTCCTCCTCCTCCTCCTCCTCCTCCTCCTCCTCCATTATCTTAAACATAGTTGGTGTTTTTTGGGCAAACTTGTTGCTTTTGAAAAGTATGTGATTAAACATTGGAGGGAAAGAAATCATGATTAAAAATCCCTCCTCAATAAAGTAGCACACGACTGCAAACTCACACACACTTTTTCTTGAGCATTTTGACATTGATTGTGAAGAGAATTGCTTTCTGTACAATTTAAAAATTCATTTTTTTTCCTTTTTCTTCTTTATTTCTTGGGAATTTGACAGAAGGCCTGGGGGAAAGTTTATAACTCTACCTGTGTCTGCTATATGAAGCTGATCCCACTTAAATCAGCAATTCCGCATGAGAAAACAACAAAAGGCAGGCTGGGATGTTATGGCAGGCTTAGAGGGCGAATTGCTGAAAATAGAATCTCTGAGCACCGATTCCCCCATGCACTCCTTCCTCATTAAACTTATTCTGTGACATGACAGCATTATGCTGATTTCTCCTCCCTTTTTTCTCCCCATTGGCTACTACTTCCTGGGGGGGGGGAGGTGTAGAAAATTGCAGCAAAATGACAATATGGAAAAGGAAAGGAAGGGTGGTAGAGAATATTACTAGGAAGAGATATTCTCTTGCATTTTCCGCCTATTTCCTCATTTAATTTGAAGGAAAATTGTTTTTGAAACTCTTCCAAAAAAAAGCTGTCAACTTCAGTGAAGTTGTCATGGAAAGAGTGGTGGTGTTCCTGCCCTTATTTAATTATAAGCCAAAAGGTGTGTGTCTGTGCATGAACACCCTGCTTTTTACTGCACATACTTGTCTTCAAACAACTTGATTTCTCACGCTTTCTATTTTTTTTTTTGCCCTATTGAAAAATTATCCCGCCCATGCATTTGGTAAATAATTTTGTAATATAATTGTCCCCAGCTTTAATCAAGAATTAAATTAGTAACATTAGTGATAACAGAATAACAGATTTGGAAGAGACCTTGGTGGTCTTCTAGTGACTAGTCCAACCCCATGATCAAGCAGGAAACCCTATACCGTTTCAGACAAATGGTTGTTCAATCTCCTCTTAAAAACCTCCAGTGATGGAGCACCCACAACTTCTGGAGGCAAGTTGTTCCACTGGTCCATTGTTCCCACTGTCAGGAAATTTCCCCTTAGTTCTAGGTTGCTTCTCTCTTTGGCTAGTTTCCATCCGTTGCTTCTTGTCCTGCCTTCAGATGCTTTGGAGAATTTAACAATTGATTTAAAAAAACAAAAAGAGCATGGATTAAGACAGTTCAGGTAGGAAACTGACAAATGGTCACAAATCAGCCTGCCCCCTGGCCTAGAGACAAAGCCAAGCCTTGGAGGCTTTCCAAACACAAATTCCTGAAATACGGGTAGTCCTCGACTTACAACCATTCATTTAGTCACTGTTCAAAGTTACAACAGCACTGAAAAAAGTGACTTATGGCCGTTCTTCACACTTAGTGTTGCAGAAATCCCATGGCCATGCGATCAAAATTCGGAGGCTTGGCTTGGCAACTGGCATGTATTTATGACAGTTGCAGTGTCCCAGGGTCATGTGATCACTTTTTGCGACCTTCTGACAGGAAAAGTCAATGAGGAAGTCAGGTTCACTTAACAACTGTGTTACCAATTTAACAGCCGCAGTGATCCACTTAACAACTGTGGCCAGGAAGATCGTAAGGTGGGGCAAAAGTCACTTAACAACCGTCTTGCTTATCAACAGAAATTCTGGGCTCAGTTGTGGTCGTACGTCGAGGCCTACCTGTATGGAATTCAGTGGGGATGTTTCTCCAGCATACAGGAGAGGCCACAGAGAAGGCCTCTGCCTAATGACTCTGCTCCTTCACTGATGAAAATCCTGTCAGATCAGAAGAGTTGAAAGAACCAGGGAAAGATGGTCTTGTAGTATGAGCTTTAAAATTTTAACAAACAAAAATAATGCAAAAAATATATATATCTTCCATTGGGAACCTTTTTATATATAAGTGTTACAACAGATTAAGATAAGGCACACTGATGAAGACTGGGACCACAGAAAAGGGCTAAAGCTCCCTTAGCAATCTGAATCATGCCTATAAGCACTCCTGTGATTGACTATTGTAAGAATGGTATCCCATTAAGGGTGGTCTTCAGAAAGTTCTAAAACTTTAACAAGTGTTCTGAGGGCAGCCTCATCGCAGCTCTGAGGTTTCATCTCTGTTTTTGATTTTCGACTTTGCAACGATGGGTTTAAGTGGGTCATCATGTCTACTACCGTTCAAAAGCTCTACCCAAGTTTTTTTTTTTTTTTACAATATTCAGTTTTCTTACAATATTATTTTATTGCTCGTTTGTTTTGCAGATTTTTCAAAGGGGTCTTACAGATATGCACCAATGATCGCCTTCTTTGCTTCGCACACCTATGGAATGAACACACCTGGTCCTATTCGATTTAATAATCTGGATGTCAACTACGGGACCTCTTATGTCCCTGCAAATGGAAGGTTCCGCGTACCCTACTTGGGAGTCTATGTCTTTGAGTATAACATTGAGTCAAGCAGCCCATCCATCTCAGGCTATTTTGTGGTTGATGGAACAGATAAGCTAGCTTTCCGATCTGAAAATGGAAGCGGAGACAAATATGTCACTAGAGTAGTTACTGGAGATGCCATATTGGAACTGAACTACGGACAAGAAGTTTGGCTCAGACTGGCCAAGGGCTCTATCCCAGCAAAATACCCACCTGTAACTACATTTAGTGGCTACTTATTGTACCGTACATAAAAGCTGCCATCCAATATTTCTTCCCTGTTACTTCTAACTTCTTTCTATCCAAATAAAGGAAATCTTCTTTAGAGTTCCCAGCTCTTCTTTGGTAGATTTCCTGTGCCTCTAATTTTTGCACAATAGACAGAAATAAGATAGGAAATACTTTCCCTATGCTTGGATTTCAGTACTGGCCAAACAATACAAAACAAAAAAACACAACAACAGATGATAACTTGGCTAATGACAAAAGGATCCTACTCAATTTTTCCCAATTTTTCCCAATCTTGGCAACTTTCAGACATGTAAATTTCAGCTTTCTGAATCCTTATCTATGGCCATGCTGGCTATAGAATTCTGAAGTCTGAAGTCGACAAATATAGAAATGGCTAGATTAGGGAAACCGTGTTGTGCATGATGTTATAGATATTCTAACTGTGTAAAAAAATCTTTGGAGAACATGTAACTTAATTATATTTTGATAGCTCATGATATTCATATGATATCAGCTAAGGGCAAATCGACACCAAGCTTGCCCTATCTCAGTGGTGGCGAACCTATGGCACGGGTGCCAGAGGCGGCACTCAGAGCCCTCTCTGTGGGCACGCGCGCCGTCACCCCAGTCCTAAGCCTTCAGCTGGGTTTTATAAAACCTTTTCGCTTTAGGCCTCCGCCGCCGTGTACAAAAAAAAAAAAGGTTCAATCAATCAGTCAATTTCAACTTCTCGCGGGGAAAAAAAAAGATCTCGCAAAGTTGGAATTGATTGGTTGAACTTTTTAGTCTCACCCAGTCTGCTGTTACCACCGCAGCCACCCCCACCCAATGGGCCATGCCCACCCAATGGGCCACACCCACCCGGCACCCGACGATGCATAAGTGGGTTTTGGGTTGCAGTTTGGGCACTCGGTCTCTAAAAGGTTCGCCATCACTGCCCTATCTACTTTGTTTTCTTTTTATTAGAAAAACTGAAGTTATTCAGCTATAACATCTTCTGCCTTCTGTTGAGTTAAACATCATAGCACAAACTACAAAAGTTGTACCTGAAGCTTTGGAGGATCACTACAAAACTACAAAAGTTGTACCTGAAGTTTTGGAGGATCACTTGCCCTCCTAGTAATATGCTAATAGATTCTGGTCTGCCTGCTAACTATTTCTAAAGCCATTGTTTTGTTCGTTTACAACTTGTATCTGAATGTTCCTGTTCCCATGTCAATGGGCTGAAAAGACCCAGGTGATATATGCTCCTTTTATATTGAGGCCTTTTATATATTCTCTCTCCATAGCCATATGAAGTAGTATTATGAAAAACTGTCAATATATTAGGAACAGGGTGGCAAAAATATTTTACAGCTAAGAATTTTGGGGGATTTTTTTGGGGGGTGGTGGTGGTTTTAAGTTAATTTACTTTGGCTTCAGAGAGAGGCAGTAGTAACATATTCACATCACTGAAAGAAGTAGTTGGAGGAAATGTGATCTGTTTTTTTCTCTACTTTGGGGTCTAGGAAAGTTAAAATGGCAAAATAGACATTAAGCGTATAAAAGATTAATGTTCCTCCTTTTTTTTTGCCCTTATTTTTGAGAGCATTTTTGTAGTTTATTGATTTTTTTGCCCTTATTTTTGAAATGGGGAACATCGTTCTACTGAAAAAATCACTGATTTATTTCCACATTTTAACTGCATGATCTTGAGGAATTCTAGAAGCTGCAGAATGAGAGTGACATTTTCCTACCTTGAATTAGGAGGAAGATTCAGAGTGATGAAATGCAGTTGATTTCATTTGCCAAATTCAGTATGTGGTTGAAACCATATGCAGAATTTCACCTTATCCTTCCATCATGTATAATTCAGAAGCTTAAGTCTCATAACAAAATTAAATTTTAATACTCTTATTTACCCATGCTACATTTTGTAGCTATACAAAATTAAAGTGTAAATGTACTGTAAAAACTATCAATTTAAATACTGAATTTCCAAGATGTGTAATTGTTTTTTGAGCTTTTTAATAAATTGTGTGTCATGCATGTAAGAGATTAATAAATGAATCAAAGCATAAGTGATCTTTAAGGATCTTGAATGGAGGTAATTTCATTTGCTTTAAACAACAAAAACAGAAATTGTTGCAAAAATTATCTCTAATGTAATGTTATTCAATGTTAGCAACTCTAAGAAGTGTAGACTTCAACTCCCAGAATTCCCCAGCTAGCTGGCTGGGAAATTCTGGGAGTTGAAGTCCACACATCTTAGAGTTGTAATGGTTGAGAAATGCTGTTGTAATGCATCACTTATTTCAAAAGAAGTATATGGTTTTCTGGTCACCAACATGGCACACCATCCAGAAAGGAGTGCTTTGCTAAAAATCCAATTAAAAATCCATATATTTAAACTGTATTTACTCAGTTAGTCAATTAACTGCATCAATTAAGGGACTTTCATCATTCCTGCCTCTACTGTTGACTGATAAGGAATCTGTGATGCCTTAAATGTCAAACAAAATGAGGTGTAGGAGCACAGTTGTACTGTCAACCGTTACTGAGAACCGTTTCAATCTACTCCATGTGTGTGTTTTTTAAATTCTGTCTTCTGTTTATAAGATAAATCTTCAACATGCCATAAATCCTGGATGTATATATTACTACCCTTTTCTCCACTGGTACCATATCGTTTTGTAAATACTTAAAATCCCCAATTTGTCACTAAACTATCCTAGCGTATCATTGAATTCTATCGTGCCTCTTGCCCACATGGCTGAATCCCTCCCCACCCCTTGTATGACTTTGTCAGTTTAATCATCTATTTAGCCCCCTTTACTTCTGCTATGGATAAGGCTAAATGGCGTGGAAATTACCCTGCAGATGAAATTCAAATGATCCACTGGAGACTGCATCTTACTCTTAAATATGACTTTCTTTGCCCTTGCTGCCCTTGTCACTAAATCCTTTAAGCCAGGTTTCTAGCCACAGAGATGTTAATTGTTTTCTTTTAAACTGAGATTCCTGATAGGCTTTCTTGTTATCCTTTCCCTCTGATGTAAACAAATTTCATTTCTTCAAACAACACCTGTGACCTTTAGGTGTTTAATATATGGAGGTGAAATCTAGTGTATGGGTGCTGCTCTAAGGCAGAATCCTCACCTCCTGATGTTCAGGTCAATCTTGGGTCTTTATAGGTATCTCTCCTAAAGGCTGATTGAATAACTTTAATTGTGAAATGAATGGGTATTTATATATGAGTTATTCTATGGGTTAAGGTTGTTGTTAGTTGCAAAGTCGTGTCCAACCCATCGCGACCCCATGGACAATGTTCCTCCAGGTCTTCCTGTCCTCTACCATCTTCTGGAGTCCATTTAAGCTCACGCCTACTGCTTCAATGACTCCATCCAGCCACCTCATTCTCTGTCATCCCCTTCTTTTATTGCCCTCAATCTTTCCCAGCATTAGGCTCTTCTCCAGTGAGTCCTTCCTTCTCATTAGGTGGCCAAAGTATTTGAGTTTCAACTTCAGGATCTGGCCTTCTAAAGAGCAGTCAGGATTGATCGCCTGTAGGACTGACCGGTTTGATCACCTTGCAGTCCAGTGGATTCACAGAAGTCTTCTCCAGCACCATAGTTCAAAGGCCTCAATTCTTTTGCGCTCAGCCTTTCTTATGGTCCAACTTTCACAACCATACATTGCAACTGGGAAGACCATGGCCTTGACTATACATACTTTTGTTGGCAGGGTGATATCTCTGCTTTTTAGTATGCTGTCTAGATTTGCCATAGCTTTCCTCCCCAAGAGCAAGCATCTTTTAATTTCTTGGCTGCAGTCCCCATCTGCGGTGATCTTGGAGCCCAGGAAGATAAAATCTGTCACTATCTCAATTTCTTCCCCATCTATTTGCCAGGAATTGAGAGGGCCGGATGCCATGATCTTGGTTTTCCAACTTGCCTTGATTCACGGATCTTACATTCCAGGTTCCTATGGAGAATAGATCTTTACAGCATCAGACTTTCCTTTCACCATCAGATGCATCCACAGCTGAGCATCCTTTCGGCTTTGGCCCAGTCGCTTCACTCTTTCTGGCACTACTAGTACTAGCCCTCTGCTCTTCCCCAGTAGCATATTGGACACCTTCCGACCTGAGGGGCTCATCTTCCAGCATCATATCTTTTTGCCTTTTGTTACTGTCCATGGGGTTTTCATGGCAAAGATACTGGAGTGGGTTCTCCAGTGGATCACATTTTGTCAGAACTCTCTGCTATGACCTGTCCGGCTTGGGTGGCCCTGCACAGCATAGCTCATAGCTTCATTGAGTTATGCAAGCCCCTTCACCACGACAAGGCAGTAATCCATGAAGGGGATAGATTAAGGTAGTGAAACAATAAAGAACAGAAGAGATCATTGGTGACGGATTCATTCATTCACTTCCATATACAGTTTGGGTCAGTTTGAACCAAAGAGATGATACTTGACTGCAATCATGGCATCAATCACTGATCCTGTCCAAGAAAACTTTTGCCATTATATTTGTGCTTTGAGAGATGGTATTTAGGGGCAGTAGGCAACGTCCCATTTCAGACACAAAGCCAGTAGGATGACAATTTGTAGACATATGTATATGTATTTATTGACCCTTCTCTTGGCTACCATCATGGAACAACCATAGAGCTGTATCCAGAAATGGAATGACTGTCTTATTCAATTCAGTTTGCACCTCAGTATAGAGAAGACTGAGTATTTAGAGACTAGCCTAAGTATCTCCACCATCCAGGTAAGTGGCAAAAATCTACTAAAGACAAACTCCTTCCATTACTTAGGATCCCATCTGTAAAGTGATGGTGGCATTAAGGGAGAAGTGTGTGCAAGGGTGCATATAACATGGGTATTGTGGAAGGAGATCACTGGAATACTCTGCGATAGGCTTATGCCAATTCACTAATATTGCAATGGTACTGTCATGGTTCTGATAGATGAAACCAATCGAAAGAACTTGAAGGCAAAGATTTCTTCCTTAAAGAACATTTTATTTAGGAAACAAGGTATCGGCACTTACATAGCTGAACCCAAGACTAAAATTCCCTCCCCCCTGATTCAAAGTAACAAGTTGCAATTCCCACCCGAGAAAGGCTGTCATAAATCACATTCACCAATTATTCTAAAACGCGGGCTCTCCTCGCAACTTTTCAACCCGCCAAACTTTATCTAACATAGACCTTGATTCTCACCC